ATTTGATACCTTGTTAGCAGCCTTAGACAGATCATTGAGGCAAAAAAATTAACAAGGGAATCCAGAACTTTAACTCAACACTTGACTAATTGGACCTAATAGATATCTACAGGACACCTTGCCCAATAACCAGAGAATATACAATCTTCTCATGAGCACATGGAACATATGCCAAGATCAACCATACAATCAGGCATAAATAAAGCATGAACATATTTCAAAATGTCAAAATCATACCAAGCATCTTCTCAGAACACAGCAGAAAAAAAAAAATATCATCACCAACAAGAAGCCCAACATGTACACAAATACATAAAAAATAAATAGCATGCTTCTGAATGACTGTTGGGTTAACACAAAAATCAAGGCAGAAATAAAGAATTATTAAGAACAAGTGAAAACAAAGACACAGCACCCCAAAACCTCTGAAATACCAGGAAAATAATGCTGAGCAGGAGGTTTACAACATTGTACACACATATGGAGAAAACTGAGTGATCTCAAGTTAACAGCTTAAAGTCATTCCTGATAGAGCTGGAAAGTCAAGAGCAATTCAATCCTAGAAGTAGTAGAAAATTTGAAATTATTAAAATAAAGTCACTGTTGAATGAAATAGAGACCAATAAAATCATAGTACAAATTAATGAGACAAAAAGTTGGTTTGGAGAAAGGATAAGATTGACAGACCCATGACTAAACTGACAAAAAAGAAGAAGATAGAAAGTTCAAGTACTTAGAACTGGAAAAGTGACGTCACACGGACACTGAAGAAACTAAAAAGGGTATCATATGTTATTATGAACATCTGTATGCAAATAAAGTAGAAAATATAGAGAAAAATGAAGAATTTTCCAGCATCACATAGCCTCCAAAGATTAAAATTGGAAGAAATTGAAACCCTAGATAGACCAATAACAATTCAAGAAATCTCAGTAATAAGAAACCTCCAAAAAAAATCCTGGGCCAGATTATTTCTCAGCTGAATTCCACAAGACCTACGAGGAATTGCTGACACCAATCAATTCCAGGCAATTGAGAAACAAAGAATAATTTTCCCTAGCTCATTCTATGAAGCCAATGTCATCCTAATAACCAAAAATGACAAAGACCCAATAAGGAAAGAAAACTACAGTCCAATTTCCGTGATGAATGCAGATGCAAAAATTCTCAACAAGACTGTAGCAAATCGAATTCAACTGCACATTTCAAGGATCATCCATCACAGCCAGGTGGGCTTCATTCCTAGGATGCAAGACTGGTTCAACATACAAAAATAAATAAATGTATTGCTCACATAAACAGGTGTAATACCAAGAACCACTTAGATTAGATGCGAGAAACCTTTAGATGAATTCCAACATGGCTTCTTGATAAAAAACACTCAAAGTCCTAGGTACTGAAGGAAGATTTCTCAAAACAGTTAGAGACAACTATGATAAACCTGTAAGTATCATCATACTTAATAGGCAGAATTGGGAAGCATTCTCCCTAAGAACTGGAACAAGACAAGGATGCCCAGTCTCATCCCTCCTGTCCAACACATTAATGGAAGTCCTAGCAAGAGCTATAAGGAAGAAGGAAGAAATTAGAGGTATTTAAATGGGAAAAGGGTAAATTAAGCTATCCCTTTAAAAAAATGATATGCTTCAAAGTCTAGAAAACTCTAGCGAGTCTGCAAAAACCTCCTCACACTGATAAACAACTTTGGTAAACTCTTGGACTACAAAATCAGCATTGGAAAAACAGATGCATTTCCATATATTAACAACAAGTAGGCTGAGAACCAAATAAAAAACACATTCTCATTCACAATAGTCACAAAAAAATAAATTACCCTGGCAACTTCCTAATTAAAGAGATAAAAGACCGCTATAATTAGAACTAAAAAACACTGCCAAGTCCTCAAAAGGAAATGAACTGAAGCTAAGACTGCTAGGTGGGACCTTATCAAACTAAAAGTTTTTGCGTAATAAAATAAACCATCAAGAGAGTAAAGAGGCAATCCATGGGATGAGAAAAAATATTTGCAAGCTATGCCTCTGACAAAGGCCTAATATCCAGGACCTACAAAAAACTCAAACCAATAGACAGGAAAAGAACAAACAAACTATTAAAAGGTGGGCAAAGAAGGGGGATTACTGGGTCGTATGGAAGGTCTATTTTTAGATCTTTTAGAAATTTCCACACTGTTTTCCATAGGCGATGTACTAGTTTACACTCCCACCAACAGTGTAGAAGCATTCCATCTTCTCTGCATTCTCTCCAGTATCTGATGTTGGCCATCCTGCCTGGAGTTAGGTGGTAACTTAGTGTAGGTTTAATTTGCATTTCTTTGATGACTTGTGAGGCTGAGCATTTTTTCGTGTATCTGTTGATTGCTTGAATGGTGTCTTCTGAGAAGTGTGTATTCATATCTTTGACCCACTTTTTAATAGGGCTGTTTGTTTTTCTTTTCCTTTCAGCACATTTGAATTCCTTATCGATGATCCTGGATGCCAGGTCTTTGTCAGATTTACAGTTGGCAAATATCTTTTCCCATTCTGTGGGTTGTCTCCCATCAAGAAATTGATGGTTTCTTTTGCTTTGCAGGAGTTTTTCAGTTTAATGAGGTCTATCTTATCTTTTATGGCATTCACTTTTGGAGAGTTAATCAGGCATCGTTTGCCTATTCCAATTTCCATCACTCTATAAAAAAAGATACCTACACATGCACGTTTATTGCAACTTATTCACAATAGCAAAAACATGGAACCAACCATGCTGTCCATCAAAAGTGGACTGGATAAAGAAAATGTGGTACATATACACAGTGGAATATTATACAGCCATAAAGAAAAACAAAATTATGGACTTCACTCCAACCTGAATGCTTTAAGAGTCTCTAATACTCAGTGGTTTGTCACAGAAACAAAGATCTGAGTACCAGGTATTCTCACTCATGAGCGAACCCTGAACATCTACCATAATACTATAAGAAAGAGATTGGCAGTAGTGGGGCACTGCCAGGGGAGGGGAGGCACATAATATCAATGAGGATGCTCAAACTTTACCTGGACCACTTAAGTAACTAATCCCGAACTGTACCTCACATCTTTAAAATAAAAATTATGCCGGGCTCGGTGGCTCAGCCTGTAATCCCGCGCCTTTGGGAGGCTGAGGTGAGTGGATTGCCTGAGCCCGCGGGTTCGAGACCCGCCTGGGCAGCGAGACCTCATCTCTACAATAAATCAAAAAATCAGCCGGGCGTGGTAGCGCGCACCTGTAATTCCGGCTACTGGGAAGGCTGAGGCGGAAGGATCGCCGGAGCCCAGCAGGTCGAGGCTGCGGTGCCAGGGAGCGGCCACTGCACTCCAGTCTGGGCGACAGAGTGAGACTCCAACTCAAAAAATAAATAAATAAATAAATAAATAGATAGATAGATAAAATAAAAATTATAATTAATTTTTTTAAGTGGGGAAAGAACACGAAAAGACACTTCTCAAAGAAAGGCATTCAGGCAGCCATTAAATATGAAAAGATGCTCAGCCTTACTAATCATCAGAAAGATGCAAATTAAAACTACAATGAGATACCATCTCACACCAGTCAGGATGGTTTTCATTAAAAAGACAAAAAAAAAAACAACAACAGGAGTTGGCAAGACCGTGTAGAAAAAGGAACACTTCTACACTGTTAAAGTGGGAGTGTAAGTTGTTTCAATTTTGTGGAGTGCAGAATGGTGTTTTCTCAAAGAACTAAAAATTGAGCTACCATACAACCCAGCAATCCCACTTCTGGGAATAAGCCCAGAAGAACACGAATCACTCTACCAAAAACACATCTGCACATGTATGTTTATTACAATACTATTCACGATAGCAAAAACATGAAACGAACTCAGACACTCGTAGGGAGGGGACTGGATAAGGAAAAGGTGGTACTCTGGAATACTATGCAACCCTACAGAGGGACAAAGTCATATCCTTTGTAGCAACGGGGATGCAGCTGGCGACCGTTATTCTAAGTGAACTATCACAGAAACAAAAAACGGAACACCCCACGATCTCACACCTAAGTCAGTCCTGAGGATGAAAGTAGAAACAATAGAGGGTGAATACTGCTAGAGGAAGTGGGGAGGGAAAAGTGACAAGGGGCTCACGGCCACACACTGGGCACTAGGCCCACTACCAGGAGGAGGGAGGGCTCGCTAGAAGCTCACCCCCACCTGCACACAGTTTACTTATGTAGCAAATCCTCACATGCACCTCACCGCTCATAAAATAAGTAAAATAAAGGCACAAATGCGTATTTCTTTCAATTCTCAAATCTTTCTGGTAATATCACTTCTCTGGTATTGGTACGACACCCGAAGTAGAAGTGTTTGGTTCTGCAATCATGAATACTGGGATGAAAATAGTTAAATGGTCTATTACAATGTTATATACACAGTTATATAAGACAAATATAACATATAATATGAATTCACTATATTGTAAATGCTGTATGTATTGCAGTGCATGTAAAATATATCTTATTATATGAGTTCAGGTATGTATATGCACAAATGAACAACTTAATGTGAACCTAAAACGTACGAGTAGGTTACAAATATTTTTACTTTGGCCTTATTGTTGAGTCAGGGTCTCATTCTGTAGCCCAGGCTGGAGTGCAGTGGCACGGTCATGGCTCACCACAGCCTTGACTTCCTGGGCTCAGGGCATTCTTCTGCCACAGCCTCACAAGTAGCTGGGACTACAGGCATGTGCCACTCTGCTCAGCTCATTTTTTTATCTCATTTTTTGCAGAGATAAGGTCTCACAATGTCGCCTGGGCTGATCTCAGTCACCTGTACTAAAGCAAGCCTCCTGCCTGGGCCTTCCAAAGTACTAGGATTAGGGTGTAAGCCACCTTATCTGGTCAGTTTTACATATAAGTATAGCATCTATAATATAAATGTATCAGTTGTGTTTTATGAACATAAAACCCACGAGTCTTTCTGTGCTGATAGTGTTCTTGAAAACATGGTGAGCATTCCTAAAACCTGCTGGAGTTTCTGTAAGAAGCGTGGCAAGCACCACCCCCACAGAGTGACATGGCCCAAGAAGTACACGGATTCCCTGTATGCCCAGGGAAAGTGGCGTTATGACAGGAGGCAAAGTGGCTATGGTGGGCAGACAAAGCCGATATTCTGGTAAAAGGTCGAAACTACAAGGAAGATTGCGCAGAGACGCGAGTGTGTTGAGCCCAACTGCAGATCTAAGAGAATGCTGGCTATTAAAAGATGCAAGCATTCTGAACTGGGAAGAGATAAGAAGAGAAAGGGCCAAGTGATCCAGTTCTAATGTCATATTTTGTTTAATTATGAAGAGAATAAAATCTTGAGATTATGTTCACTTCAAAAAAAAAAAAAAGTGTGAGTACCGTGAACAAACAACTATCACAATAAAAGTAAGCACACGATCATTATTGAATCTAAGGGTAATACTGGATCATTAACAGATGATTCTACCCATTGAAAGATGATTTTTTAGAATATCTATTTCAAAAATCTCATTTGCGTGTAATTAATTAAATATACTATTTTTATTCATCTTTGGAACCACAGAGAAGAATATTCATGCATTAGCGAACTCCATAGAGCACTGAAAAATAAATGTTGAGATAAACAAACGAACACTTTAATCTTCTGCTATCATATTTTGTTTTGGCAGGCAAGTTGTTTCTGCCAGTACCAGAGTTATGTTATCCATAGCTACTGTTTCTACAAAAATAAAGAGGTTCAAGGTGAAGTCTATCTATCAGATTGGGAAAGACATGGAAGTGACACCTTAAAATAAAAATGAATGCAATGGGAAACTTTGACCAGTTCAGTCTTGTAGAATCACAGGCATATAAGATCCTTCCAGAATATTTGTTTGTAAGCGATCTATACATAAACTGCTCTACTTAAATGACCGTCAATTTTCTTTATATTCATGCCACTAAAAACAATTCTGTGGGTCTTTCCTGGAACTAGTTTGATTTCTTTTAATTTAATGTTTCCTTCTCCAAGAATTTTTTGAAATATCATTTCCACTAAGGAAGATCAGCATACAGATATTCTGACCTTTTACTGGACCGAGGTAAAACCCAAGTGAACAATCCCAAGCAGAAGTGTTTTATTTATTGTGTTTAGACTTTTAATTTTTTTATTTTAAAGACGTGGGGTACAATTCAGGGTTAGGTATACAAATGTTCATTATGCAGGTTCCCTTGTTGATGAGGTGTACCCCACTTCCCTAGGGAGACTCCCATTCCCACCAATCCAGCTTCCCCGCCGCCCTCCTGGCAGTTTCCCACTGCTGCCAATCCTTTTCTTAGAGTATTATGATAGTTGTTCAAGGTCCACTTATGAGAACATGTGATTCTCAGTTTTTGTTTCTGTGAAAGATCACTCAGTATTATTATAGACTCTAGGTCCATCCGGGTTGCTATGAAGTTCATGATTTTGTCCTTATTTATGGCTGCGTAATATTCCATCATGTATATGTACCACATTTTATTTAATCCAGTCCTCTTTTGATAGACAGCACAATTGGTACCATGTTCTTGCTACTGCGAACAATGCTGTGATAAACATACATGTGCAGGTATCTTTTTTATAGAGTGATTTGATTTCTGCTGGGTATATTCCCAGTAGGGGGATTGCGGGGTCGTATGGAAGGTCAATTTTTAGATCTTTTAGGAATCGCCACACTGTTGTCCACAGAGGCTGTACTAGTGTTTTATTCTTATCTCCTACTTGACTCAATAGAATTGTGCAAAATTCTAATTACAAAATCAGCTGTCCTCTATTTTTTTGTTGTTGTTGAAGTTCTGAGTAAGTACTATCTCGCTGCAAAAATAGAATACCATTCTGTATCTGCATGGGCAGCTCATTCATTCAAACATAGAAAATGAGGCATCAGACTGGAATTGTACCAGGTACTGTAAACTTCAATTACGTAAAATAATGACTGGCGTTCTTCATATACCAATGTATGCTTACATCCTCCCCTGGCTGATACTGGTGGGTCTTACCCCTTTTGTCGCATTGCAGGAGGAATTGCAAGGTGAAAACTCAAAGCTGTTGTAATTTAATTTTGTATGAAAAAACAGCGATTTATTAAAGTAACTCCTGGATGTTCTATGGACTGTTTTTGTGGATATACACCGTACTGATTCGTGAAAATTCTAGCCTCTTATTTGCTTGATTGTTTTTACTGGCTCTCACTCTATGCCTTCAGACTTAAGTTTTATCTATGATGCCTTCCTTTTTAAAAGTCGCTTACCTATTCATATATTTCCATAACTTTGCTCATGTTTCTCTTCTGCGTGAAATGCTATCTCTTCTTTGGCAGTTAATAAGTCTATTTATATTTCAAAACCCCGCATAAATGTGACTTACAACATGAAGCCTTTGAAACACTATTAGTATTGACACGATCGGTACTGTATACTTATAGCATATTACATTTGATTATATATCTATTATAATTTTCCTTAAACTTGATTTTTTTTTTTAGATTGGAAAATATAGCTTAGTTAGAACAGAAATTGGAGAGGGAAAGAGAAGAGATTCATCTTCCCAAGGTAGGGGAGGGGTCAAAACTTGGGAATATGTGGCCCCTCCAGAACTCAAAGAACCACATGACTGGGACAGGGTTTAACAAGAACATAGTCTATGCTTGACAAAATAATATGAGCTGTAAGTTACCCCTTAAAGGTAAAATTACATAAAAGTTTCTGTAAATGGAATACATGCTTGTAATACAACTTTTTTTCTATGACATTTTAAATTATGCCTTTAAATAAATTGAACACTAGGGTTTTGTTGTTGTGTTTTCACAAATCAAGACTGGAAACTGCTAGATCCTCGTGCAAGGAAAAAAGGCAAAGGAAAAATTTGGGCCTGAGAAGTGTTAATTCTAACAAAATTCACAATTTTATTGAATATGTATGTCAGCTACTTGCACACACATTTCTTTATCGAATACTCACAAACGCACTAAACCATGTGATGACTAGTTTCCAGATGATGGTAAAGAGGCACACGGGTGTTAATTTTACCCAGGCCACTCAGCTAGTACGTGACAAAGGCAAGATTCAAGTCTCATTACATCACAGTTGAAGTTAAAATGTAACCACAATGTTGTATAGAGTTTTTGCTATTGTCACACTATTCTGTCTGGCTAGTATATAGCTCCCCTTTGGAATTAAAGTTGAAGGTTGTTTAAGAACACAACACAACAAAACAAAAACTTACCTCCAAGTTAAGATTTGCTTAGGAAAACAAAACAAAATTTTTGACGTAGTCTCGTAATACACTTCCTTCCCACATACATCTTTGGGTAAACCCTTATAGCTCAACATGTGTCCTTAAATTATATATCTCAGCCTTGTTCATTTAATTTCAGGGAATGGACATAATTTGCTATAGACATGCTATGACAGTATTTCAATATTCAATATACATACTGCTATTACTATTTGTTAAGTTATAAAATCCTTAAAAATCTTACAAACCATGTTCAATTACGGTCCAGCTGAAAATTATTTAATTATTTTAAACTGAAGTTGGTTTTTAAACATCACACAAGGAATAATCATCATAAATATCAAATTAATTCTTTAAAGGAATTAGAAATATAATCCAAGCTAAATTGTATGTGTAGGTAACTATGAAAGTATTTTTAATAATAAATTGCTGTTTCTTTTTTATCATCCTCAATGACATCTTGTCACAAAAGAAAAACATAATTATGTTTACTAGCACATCTGATAATTTAGATAAAGTTGAGCTTAAAGACATGAGCTAGAATTAGTTGTAAATTGCATAATCATTTGCCCATTATTATGGGATAAAGTCACAATAAAAGTTGAATGCCTATTTTTCATGTGAATTCAATGGTATATGAATTCTCCCTGATCATCAATCTCTGAGTGCAGAAACCATGGAAGACAATTCATAAGATGGAATAATTGTTCCTCTCAGCATCAACAGGAAAACTACCAAAAAAAAAAAAAAAGTCTGTTTTTAAACAAGCCTTTAAAATTGGAAATAGTTTTAAAAGCGATTCTTAGGTCATAACCATTTTTCTCTGGAAATGAAATTTAAAATCAGTTTGGTCTAAATTTTTAGCCTCATGAAGCAGTTAAGCCATCACAAATCTTTCCATTAAGTTGGAAATTAGTTTATCCATTGATGGAGTAAGCTGGTGAAAAGCAGGAATTGTATAACTGCAAATTGCATGCTGAACCCAAAACAGCTTGAAGACAGATGAAGAACAGGAAAATTCTTCATTAAACTCAGGTTTGGGGGCAGGAGGTGACTCAATTATCAAAAAGATATAACAAGTTTTAATATTTTCATCTTAAAAGTTGAAAGAAATCACAGGACTATAAGAAGCTCCCATCAACCCGAAGATTCCTAACTACAAATATTTGGGTGGAAAAGCATTATTTCAAGAGCTTTGTTTTAGAGTCCACACAAATATAGCAGGCAAGGTACGCAACATTTCTAAATAGGCCTCACCTACACAATGACAATTTAAGTATATATATTTGAAGTGTAAAATATATTCAGTTCATGTTTCTAAAATTAAATGATTGATGCCAATTGAGTGGTTAACTGAAGAAAGTTCCCCCCTCGGATAGTCATAAATGTATATATTCATGGAGCAAAAATGACAGTTATTTGTTTTTTAATACTCCAATCAATTATATGTGAAATCATTTGTTTATTCAAGATCACTATTGGGATAAAATTCGTTTACGCCCCCAAAATTCTTTGCATGTTAATGTTTAAAGGGGATTTGACAAAATCTAATGACTTAGACTGTCTCCTTTTTTAAGTGAAGCAGAAGAGGGCTTCAAAAATGTAACTATTATTGCTAAATGTCACCCAATTTCAGAGGCTCTCTGAACATTCGGCAGCTGACATGAAATGCATATTGGTCCTGAGAGATTTAAAATAAAAGAGGCAAATTAGATGCAAAAGCTAAAAAGAAAGTATTTATATTTCCATATTTTGGAAAGGCAAGAGCAGATGGCTTGTGGAACACTATGAAATGTGAAAAAGTTGTGCTGTTTTAATAGTAGACAAAAATAGAAAGAAAAGGAGGTAACAATGAGAGAACGGGTCTTTAATAAAGAAATGCATCAATTGGCATTGTGCAACTCTTCATAATAATGGTTTACTGAGTAAATAAGATATGAAAATAAATGTATTTGCCATGGATCTCCCTTCAAAGAACACATGGTAAAAAGCTGCCCTGAACTTACCTGCCTATGCTCTATGTATTTTTCCACTTTCTAATTATTCCCTGAAATTATCTAGGGATAAAAAGGATGCAAAATTCTCTCAATATATTCT